CATCATAACACTCTTTCCTTACTTCTTGTCCTTAAGGATCACCTCGATCAACTTGTCAAGCTTAGCTTCAAGCGGAGCACTTTCTCCCACACTTCACACTCCACTTTCGGTGCTTCTCTTACCACTCCTCATCAAGCCCCAATCATATCCTTTAAGAGCCATATCTTCGAGCAACTCGGTCACTTGAGGTGGTGTCATGTTCATCAACCTCCCTTCGCAAAGAGAGTCGATAAGGATCTTGTCATCTTGAATGAGACCGTCATAGAAAGTATCTATTCGAAAGAAATTGCTCTTTGAACCCATGGTGAGGGCATTGGAGGAAGTAGTCCGAGAACCTTTCCCATGCGTCCATCAATGTCTCATCCTCCTCTTGCTCAAAGTGAGTGATCTTCTTCCTCCACTCGGCCGTCTTAGAAGGAGGACAATATCGGGTCATGAATTTGTTGAGCAAATCATCCCATGAGGTAATTGAGCGAGCCGGGCGATTGTTGAGCCATCGAAGTGCTTTCCCCGCAAGAGAGTAGGGGAATAGCCTCAATTGTAATGCCTCCACAGAGACAACATTTATATTCAAACTTCCCGCAAGCTCAATGACCTCTGTACATGCTCCCTCGGTGATTCATTGGTGAGGCCATGAAACAAGGCGTTGTTTTGAATCATCGTGACTAGGGAGGGCTTGATTTCAAAGTTGTTGGCAGCCACGAGTGGATGTAAGATGGGAGATTGGATATCCGCCCCCCGTGGGTCCTTGTAATAGCCCATAGTCCTTGACTCTTCCTCATCTCCTGCCTCCGCATTTGGATTCAGGGGCGGATTAGAAGCTTGTAGTTTATTCGCCGCCATTTCAACTTCACCTTCTACACCAACTCTTCTAACTCCGGGACCAACTTGATGTCCCCTCTCTTCAATTCTCCTTCTTGCTTCCGCTAACTCCCTCTCACGAGCCAAGAGTCAAAGAGTTTGGTTGATGTTCTCGTCTAGTGGCATTAAAGGTGTCGGATTGCTCCAAGTCATACACCTCCATGCACACACTTAAAATAACAACAACTCGTCTAGCACAAGCAACACTTCACAGAATAAAAAATGAAAATAAAACCTATATTAACACCAAACAATCTTTTCAAGATAACGGACTGAAGCTCCCCGACAACGGCGCCAAAAACTTGCTTCGGTCCGACTATCACAATAAAATCCCACCTAAGTTCCAAGCATAACCTTAAATGGGTGCAATATAGGGCAAGTATTTTTAAATATCGATCCGAGCCAGCCCATGTACCCGTACTTCGACTGTTTGAAACATTATCTAGCGGATTGTTGTTTTGTGAAAATATCTACAATCTACTATTGAAAAGGAACACTTGAAATTAAAGTAGTGGAAAACTCTTGTTGAGAAGCTTCACTCGGGTGTTGCTTCCTCCTAACCAACTACCATGAATTGTGGGATCGAATGAAACGGTGTGTGACAAGGCAATTGCGACCCGTAGGAGGTGCAACAATGGTTAGAAACCATCCTCTCAATTTCTAGGCCAAGGAAAGCATTAAAGACTACAATTGTAGCCCTCTTGGCCCTAGCTAGTGAGGGTTGACTTACCTTCTCCCTCAAACCAAGGTTTGGACGGCATAATCACAATTAACCTAGGTCTAATTCAAGTTTAGAGGTTTGCCCTTCATCAACCTAGTTAGGAGGCATGGAATGCCTAAGAAAACCCAGCTCAATTTGAGCCTCTTAAAATAAGGGGGCTTCTCTCTAAGCTAGGTTAGAATAACACAATAGATTGCCAAGCACACACAATGCACAATCACCATGAAAAATACCTCAATTCTTAAATTAAACACCACCATCTCACAATCATTCAATCCACACAATCAATTACATGGTAAAAGTTAGGGTTCTACAACAACCAAGTGAAAAGGGAATCTACTCCATGCTAGACAAAGGGAGAACACAAAAGAGGAAGAAAGAAACCATTATTGTGGCACCTCCAACTCTCCTTGTGCTTGTAGAGATCCTCTCTTCAAGAGGAACTTCCAAAATCTTCACTTGGAGCAAACCCTAGCCTCTTCTCCCTCTTGGTTCGTGACTTTCTCTCTCTAGGGTTTCAAGACGAAGAAGCGTTCTCTCACTTTTGGCTCCCTCTTCTTCTTCCTTTAAGCTCTTTATTTATACTCAGATCGCGCCCAATTCACGGTCCCAGTTCATGGCTGTGAACATCAGGTCGCGTCTGTGAACTTCGATCAAAACACGCCGCTTCACCTATGGTGTTCACGGTCCATGGCCCCAGTTCATGGTCTTAGTGACCGTGAACTGCCTCGGCGTTAGTAACCTCTGAAACCCTTCTGGACGCTTCGCGGTTCATGGTTTATGGCTCCACTTCACGGTCCTGGCGACCTTGAACTCCAAGCTTTGACCGTGAACTTCGACTGAAAACTCCTCTTTGCCCGGTCATTGCTCTTTTTCTTCCACCTTTCGACTCAGTGGTAGGTTTCACCTGTTAGACTCTAAAACACAAGAAACCTAGCATAAAACCACCATACATACAAGAAAAGGGGATAAAAAGTGTACATTTTAGCCTGAATCAGGCGTAGCATACAACTAACCTATGTAATTAAGGTGTTCACAACCAACTCCCACGATTGGGAAAAATCCAATGCAGCCTAACACAAACCCAATCACACTTGTTCATAGACCCACAATGATGATTTGATAGTGCTCTATTCAACCTAGTCAGATATTCTCTCTCCTAGTTCAAAAGCCCCAAATTGAGGGATGAGATCAAGATAAAAAAAAATTGCATGATAAATACTCAATCAATACATAATGGAAAATCACAATCATAGGTTTGTCACAAGTATCTACAATCAATCCAAAATCTAGAACTAGGGTTCATCAACCTAAGTGAAGAGTGCTAATTCGTAAAGAAGAGAGAGATTACAATAAAATGCCGAATATCTTAAATCTTCATGGATAGGGGTGATCGTCAAGCACCAATGGTGATCCAAGCCTCTAATCTCTCTAAGAACCCACCAAGATCACTCTCTCTAGAAATTGCAACTTTGGTGTTTTGGGTCGAAACACCAAGCTCTCCCCTCTTTCATTTTGCACCTGCAGATTTATAGTCTGTAGAAACAACTCAAACATGGTCACGTAACACGGTCATGTTATGAGACCATGTTCCCCAAGTGTTAGACGTTTTTGGAAGTCTTCAGAAGCAACACGAACACACCTTGGAATATGGTCGTGTTTTTCTTTGTCCATCAAAAGCACCGTCTTAGGACCCACTAAGGACTTGACTGTTGATCTCACGGTTCAGATATCGTGGCTTCTTTAAACGCCGGTGAGATGTCATTTGGCATTTGCTCCTTAGCACCAGGCACGAGAACTTAACATGATCGTGTTACTATAAGAAATCGCCAGACACGTGCTCTGGAGTACACGACGACGTTTTGGGTCTTGATACTGAACACAACATGACCACGACATCGGTCATATTTATATCTTAGGACCTGAAATGTTACAAACAAAACACTACCCAACGTAAAACATTCATTTCTTGAAACAATCAAGAAATGAATGTTAAAATATGTATCATTTAAACTCGAATCAAAATGCATGCAATGCCTCGAGGTATATGGATCAGTGGATGTGATATCATGATACCATCAAATTTTTCCATATATAAATAATGTATTAAGCAAAAACAAGACATTCTTAGACAGTAACAAGACAGCGGTCCCCATTGACAGGGTGTTTTTTTTTCCCTCTTCAATTTAACAATACCGACGGAGGCCACTCTGCATTTGTGTTTCTGTGGGGCTGACATTTGAGAGTATATCACATATCTCGCAACTCGCATAACAGAACAAAACAAAAAGAGAAGAAAAATCTATAAAGCCTTTTTCTTTTATCGTTAATTTGGCCTTTCTGGCCGAAACTCTGCCACACTTTGCCAGAAGCATCAAAGCTTACACTGTCCCTCACATAATAAATGAAGAAACATAGCGTAAATAAATTATAAATAAATAATTAAAAACATATAAGAAAATAAACCCTATTATACCCATTTGGCCATTATTTCCTGTTCTTTTTTCCTTTTTGTCTTCAACACTTGCCGCAATCCCTCTATCACATCCTCACCTCACTTGTCCCAAAATCCAAGCTTCTCTATCTCTTCTTGCATCTTCAAGCTCTTCTTTCTTCCCATAGTGAGCTCCAGAGTCATAAGCCATACATCATCCCATAGTCTGCTCTTGCTCAAGAGAACAATTTTAGATCTCCCCACTTCCTATCTCATTTCAGTTTTCTGAACTCGTTTTGGGGAGGTGGTGGGTGAATAGATCAGTCTGTTCTACAGTAGTATTTTTACTTTTGGTGGGATACAGTAGCTTTTTCTTGAGACAAGTTCAACCATATATATATATATATATAATCTTATCATTCTCAGTGATAAGTTTCTACATATTTCCAGCTGTCTTTGGTAGATTTGGCGGTGGTGGGTGGCCATGGAATCTGCAGAATGCTATGACGGGCTTTTATTGGGATCAGCAGCGGCAGCAGAGCAGGCAGGCAGCAGCAGTGTTTCATCCTTTTAATGAATAGCTTCAATAGCAGCAGGAAGAAGCAACCATAATTAACAGCAGAAAAAGAAAAGAAAATAGAGCTTTGCCTTGAAGAAATTGAACACCTTTCATCCTTTTTTCCTTTTTTCTTTCTTAACCTTGGAAGATTGGGGAATCTGGATTTCCAGAGGAACCAGCAGCAGAATTCTGTCTACCAATTTCCTGATCTGAGACCCCAAGAAGAAGAGCAGCAGCAGCAGCAAAATCTAGCCTCCACGATTCCACAGTACCACCACCACCTTCAATTTCTACAGCAACACTATGGGGAAGAAGCAGCCGTAAACATTAGCTCCTCCAATCCAACGGAGCTGCAGCTAGAGCAAGAACCCAACAACCCAGAGCCAACCACTGATTATGTGAAGAGCAGGCGGGCGCAGAGATCAATGGGGACCAAGGGCGGCGGAGGAGGAGAGATTATCCAAGTCCAAGGAGGCCACATTGTTCGCTCCACGGGCAGGAAAGACCGTCACAGCAAGGTCTACACCGCCAAAGGCCCCAGAGACCGCCGGGTCAGGCTCTCTGCCCACACCGCCATCCAATTCTACGATGTGCAGGACCGCCTCGGCTACGACCGGCCCAGCAAAGCCGTCGATTGGCTCATCAAGAAGGCCAAATCGTCCATCGACAAACTGGCCGAGCTTCCTCCCTGGCATCCCACCGCCGCCGACAGCGCTAATGACGAGGAGGGTTTGGAATCCGAACACAACCCCAGGGAACTGGACATGGCAGAGCAATCGGAGTCCTCTGGCTACGGCTTTCAGCTTCACCGGCAATTGGGAGGCGAGAACGTCGGCAACCACTCCGCGCCGCCGTCGTTCCTTCAGATAGATCCCGACGGGATTCCCGAGACCATGAAATCCTTCTTCCCCACCAGCTCCACCACCTTATCCATGAATTTCCAGAGCTACCCACCCGATCTAATGTCCAGGACAGCCAATCACAGCGAGGATCTGGGCTTATCGCTTCACTCGTTTCAAGACCAGGCCCTGATTCCCCACCAGCAGCAGCCGGATACGGGTAATACCCGACCGGGTACCCACCACAGCCTGTTCCAGACCGGGTCGGGCGGGTTCGATGCGAATTTCCAGAGAATGGTGGCTTGGAGCGCCGAATCGGGCGGCGGGAGCAGAGGCGACGGCGGCGGCGGCGGCGGGGTGTTCGGATTCAATAATAATCCGCATCATCATCAACTGTCGCCGCATGCAGCATTGATGATAGGCCAAGGTTCGTCGGGTTTGTCATCTCAGAGTCAGAGGAGTCCCCTTCAGTCCAGTGGGTTTGTGCAGTCTATTCGCGCTTGGAACGATCTTCCGATGGGCGCGGCTGCAGAGAACCATCACCCACACCACCACCACCAACAACAACAACACAACAGCAGCGGCAGCAACCAGAGAGCCCACGAGTTCCATCAGTCGATGCTGTTCGGGAGCCGGTTTCTCGGGTCGGAAGGGATTCATGGGTTCCGCATTCCGGCCAGGATACACGGCGAGGAGGACGGCAGCGTCGTTTCTGACAGGGCGCCTTCCTCCGCTTCTCCCCGTTCAGCTGACCACTGAACTCTCTTCCAATCACTTGAAGAAATTAAAACAGAAATTGGAAAAGAAAAACCCACTTGCATGCTTCTGCCAAGTTCCAGGTAATTAAAATCCTAACTACCACCTCCCTTCTTCCATTCATAACTGTCCATGCTATTTGGTGAGTACTTTAGTAACTATACTAGCTTTTTTTTAAGAAATATTTTACAATTGATACACAGTTGTTTGTTTCTTGGTTGCTTTACCTCTTTTCCTAGGACACTATGAGTCACGAAACAGGAAGAAGTAGAGGCATTGCTGTGTGTGGGATTAACTTCAGTGAGTTTGGCTTTGTAGGAAGATTCAGAGGAAGGAGAAAAAAAAGGAAGACTTGGAGGGGATTATGATCATAGCTCTGTTTGTTGTTGTATCTGTTTGTCTTGTCTTGCATTGCATGTAGGTGGTGAGCTCTTCTCCCTCCAGATTCCGGGGGAGTGGTTTGTTTTTGGTTTTACAATTAATTAAGCTTTCTTGTTAAGTGGGCACTCTTCCTGATTTTCAGATAACATTTGGGAAATACTGTTTTTGTTGTCTGTTCAATTTGGCATTCTGTTGTTGTGGGATTGTTACACGTACATTTTGTATTGTTGCCAAGCGATATTCTCGGCTGCTAATTTAGATTGAAATGGATGCACATGTCGCCCACTGTTGCTGTCTTGTCTTGTCATCGTCGAAAACTCGTCAGTACTCAACTTGCTTTTCTTTTGGTTTTGCAAAGCTTGGTAGTTATTAGTTTAGTTAACAATGAGGGAGCCCTGCCCCGTTGATTAATAAAACCGAGAGAGAACCAGCAGCTATTAACAACTATACAAGATATGGTCATATGGTGCCGTGCTTCGCAGCGGGCCACCATCGCCATCGGATTACTTGTCAAGCCCACGCTTTTATTACTTTTGATAGTGGGCAAAAGTGGGTTAGGCCCACTGTTTATAGTTATTTTATTCCCTTTGATATATGTGCCAAGCATGGAATTAATTTCGGTAAATAATATGTTTTAGTTAAACCTTTTTCATATTCTAAAATATTAGTCAAATTTATGAAAAATTTAAATAATTAGCCATCCCTTAATTTGTTGAACAAATTTCCGTTAATTGATGCTGAGGTGGCATATTGAGTGTTGAGTTGGAATGTTTTTGTGATGTCGTTAATCTTTAATAATCATTTAATATCCTTTTTAGTGTCTGAGCTTGTCAGAGATTATCATAGACTAGAGCAAATGTGTCTTCTACGTGTGTGGTTAACATCGACATCATGAAGGCATTTGATTCTATAAATTCGAACTTTCTTTTTTCAATCATGACTGTCATGGGATTTCCAGAGGGTTTCTTACTTCTAGTCAAGGCTTGTATTACCAGAGGTTGGTTAGCATGCTAACCGCTTTGAGGGGTTGGAAAAATGACACCCCCTGGGGTATTAAATACAACTATAGAATTTAATACACACATTAAATACACATTAGAAATTAAATGCAACATATTAATTATTTGTTTTTTTTTTCAAATTAAAATCTATACTATATACATTCTCTCTCCCTATATCTAATTTTTCCTTTTTCAGCAGCATCCGACCACCAGACTTCCTCCGACCGCCACACTTCTCCGGTGAAATTCCCATCGACAGACTCCCTCCGACCACCTACAAAAAATATACAACTGCACTGATACGTTGTACCACTACACTGGTAACTATACCACTGCACTGGTACCAATGTCATATCTGAGTATCAGTGCAGTGGTACAAATACCAGTACAATGGTACAAGATATCAGTGCAATGGTACATTTTCGCAGGTGGCTGGAGAGAGTCAGCCGGCGGGATTTTACAGGCAATGTGTGGTGGTCGGAGGCTGCTGGGAAAAGAAGAATCAGAGATAGGAGTGAGAAAGATCAAAGATGAGAGAGAGAATTGTATTTTGTATATGTTTAGATTTTTTTTAAAAAACAAGTAATTAATGTGGTGTGTTTAATGCTTACTTTGTATTAAATAATAGAGCATTTATTATGTCTATCTTCATTAATACTTGTGAATGATTAATGAAAAAATTGACCAATTGAGAAGGGGGTGTAAAAAAACCAACCCTTTTAAGGTTAGGCATAGTATCCTACCCTGTATTACGACTCCTCTTATTAGTGTTGCCATTAATGTGGTCTTTGTGGAAAAATCTTAGCAAAGAAGGGACTTAGACAAGAAGGCCCTCTGTCCCCTTACTTGTTTACTGTTGCTATGAAATTTTTCGATTGTCTGATTAAGAAGGCAGTATATGAAGGCCAGATACCTTATCATCCGAGGTGTAAACCTTTAGAGATTACTCACCTTTGTTTTGCTGATGACCTGATGGTCTTTACAAACGGGTCAGTAAGAGGAGTAGCAGAGATTACAAGGTTATTAGTAGAATTCTATAGACATTCAGGTCGTAAAATGCAACTCAACAAAGAGTCGATTATTCTGTGCAGGTATTCCAAGAGGGGAAATAGAGGCTATTTTTGCATATACTAATTTCCCTCTAGGAACTCTGCCTGTAAAGTATCTTGAAGTTCCATTGATAACAAGAAAATCAACCAAGAGGGACTACTGCCAGGTGCTTATTGATAAGATCACTAAAAGACTAAGGAGGTGGAGGACAAACGTCTGAGCTACGCAGGGAAGGTTCAATTAATCAATACAATGATTTCAGGAACTCGGAAATATTGGATGAACATGTTTCTCTTTCCAAAGTATGTAATTACTAAGGTTGAGAGATTGTGTCTTATTATGGAATACAGTTGAAGTAGAGGGGAGGAGAAAAACAGTTATGGCCTGGGATAAATTGGCAAAGCCTAAATTTGAGGGTGTCATGGGTATAAGAGACTTTAAGATTTGGAATATGGCTTGTGTTATAAGGCATTTATGGCAGATACTGGCAGATGGTGGATCCATATGGGTAGCATAGGTCAAAAGGTATAGGATCTTCAATGGATTTGGTCCTTGAATGCAAAGGCTACCGGAACCTGTACATTGAAAAGATTACTTAAGTATAGAAGTGTTGTGTTTTTTCTGTTTCTGATAATGAGGTCAAATGGGATGATGTGGCAATGCACATATATTCCGTAAAAAGAGTATGGGAGTCGATCAGAGAGAAGGATGGAAAGGTTAACTGGTTCCCATTGGTATGGAGTAAAGAGATTATCCCAAAATATGGATTTACCATGTGGATGGCTATTCAAAATCGATTGGTGTTTCAGGACAAGTTGAAATAGTGGGGGAAGAATGTCACATGAGCTTGCTTGTTATGCCCCGGTGAGATTGAGGATCAAAACCATCTTTTAAATCTATGTCCTTACACAGCTTTTGTGTTACACAGTTTCCTGAAGAACAGAGCTCCACCTGTCTATCTTGATTGGATGGCTACTTTAGAATGGTGTGTGCAGAACTTGTCTACCGTACCTGCCATCAGAATCTGTCGTTTGATCTGGTGTGCTCTTTGAGTTTAGTTTGGAGGGAGAGATGTTGCAGAATGTATGGTGTAAAAAGAGCTAAAAATACAGAATTGCTTAGTCATGAATTGCATATTGCAGTAAGGTGTCGAGTGGCAGGAATTCATGATCTCCAAAATGATTTTGACAGCCTGGAGTTTGGATGGTAGTTAGTGTAACTAAATAGGTTTTTATTTTTACAGAGAGTTGTTTTTTCTGTTCATCTGTTGATGCTTGTATTAACAGCGGTTTGAGAGGCTGCTGGGTTTATTTGCCCTGAAAGTCGGTTCTTAATGCTATTTTTTATTTGATTATGAAAAAAAAATATACGTTACTGTCACATAGAGACTTATTCTCTTCACTCTTCTTGTCTATGATGCCTACTCTTCAGACGGCTCTAGCCACGACGAAGCTTTCTAATCATCATCATTTTCACCTCTCCAGACGACAGGGACGGAGCCAGCTTGTTGGCAGGGGGGGCCATGGCCCCCCCTAAGATTTTAAATTACTTATAATACTGAGTAAGGTTCATAATTGACAACTAGCCCAACTGGTTGAGTTGTTGGCTCATGACACTATAAAATGGATTGGTCAGGTTTCGAGTCCTTGAGAGTGTCAGATTTTATTCCTTTTCTTTTTTGATTTCAACTTCACTTCCTCCTTACATCCCACTCCCACATGTTATTCTTCCTTTAATTTTTAATTTTGCAAGGAAACCCCTCATCATTATGGTAATCTTATTTACATTTGATGCAAGAAATATAGCAAGAAAACTCCATCATCATTATGGTAACCTTAATTACATTTGAATGTGATTCAAGAAAATGTTTGATCTAATCCATAAATGATGTAATTGTTCTTAATTTTTTTGTAGTTAAACTGCAATTATTAGAAGAAAAATATTTAAATAAGTAATTGTTTTTCAGTGTTTTTTATGAATATAATGAGATATTTTCTTCATGAATTTACAGAATGTTGTGCCAAATTGATTTCAATTTTGATTTCAATGCATGTCCTTGTGACCGTAATTGTATTTGATTGCAATAAAAGATGGAATCTTATCCATGAATTATTAATCATGTATTTTTTTCCGTTGTTAAATCGTCAATTGTTTGTATAAATTTATGAAAAAAATTCGTCAACTTCTTCAGTATATCATGGGAAAAAGGAAAATTTTTTTGTCGGCCCCCCCTAATTTCAAATCCTGGCTCCGTCCCTGCCAGACGACTCTCGGCACGACGACGATTTCTAATCGTCGTTATTTTCATCTCTCCGTACGGCTTCAGCCAATATGCAGCCGCTGGTGAGGGTAAGAAGATCAACGTCGACTTCGCAAGCGTTGGAAGTTTGGGGAAGAGATACCGATATGCGTTGAGCTTCGATATTCTAAGGTTGCAGCTTCATTGTCTCCTCCTCTTGGTCGAGATGGGAGAAGACATAGGATTTTAGATCTCGACACTTGACTAGGTGGACTTTACTGGCGCTCCTACATGATATGAAGCTAATGACCGTATGTGTCTAACATGACAATTAAAGAATTAATAAAAAATAATTTAATTCTTTTAATATTTGCACATTATTAAATAATAAAATAAATAAATGAAACCAAAACTTCGGGTGGAGCAGGACGTTGTCCAGTATCGAAATCCTGGATTCGGTGGCCTTCACGACCACGTGGTAAGCGATGTTCCCGCCGAAGCTGTCAACGGCGAGGTACACGTGTACGTTGGAGGAGTTATGGTCTACCGGTGCGGAGCTAGGGCCTGGATTTGACCCACTTGAGAGCCGCCCATCCGTCGTCGTAGGCGCACGAGTACCGATTCTTTGACGACCAGCGACGTTGACAGAGATGACGACGACACCGCCGCAGAGGGAGACGAAGCGGCGACAGAAGGTGTCATAGATCTCGCTACCCGCGGAGGAGTGGGTGAAGCTTCCATCGTGGAAGAAGACGATTACGGGGATGACGGTGGTGGTGCTGAGTGGGTTCTCGAGGTTGATTGGGCGGTGGGGGGACCAATTGGTGCTGGCCGAGGGAGCTGGTGTCGATGGACAACACGTGTGTTGCCGTGGACGATGTCTCGGAAGCTGCAGATGAAGCCGCAGGAGGAGCTGAGCTTATTGGAATTGGGCTTGGATGTTGCAGGGTCGTGGACAACAGAGGGTTCGATTTGTTTGCAGGTTAGGAGGTTCTAGAACTCGTCCCACGAGGAGGAAGAGGGGGAAGAAGGCGGTGGTTTGTTGTTATGGCGTTTAATGGGTTTAGAGAGCTTTTTGTTAATTGGCTTGGTGTTGGTGGTGGTTTTGTTGTGGTGGTGGGAATGGCGGGGAGTGGAAGATGGGGTTTTGAGGTTTTTTTTTAGTGGTGGGTTCTGGGTAGAGAGTGAGGCCCGCTATTTTTACCTTTTTATTTTATTTTAATGACATGGAAATATTAAAAAATTAAATTAATTTTTTATTAATTTTTTAATTGCCACGTTAGACATTTAACCGTCAATTGTTAGGGTTGACTGCCATATCAGATAAAGTTAACGGAGAGTGACTAAATATGTATTGTTTTACTAATTCGAGTGACCAAAATTGATATAATTTTTTCAGTGACTAAACTTGACACATTTTAGTAAACCCAGTGACCAAACTTGGCATTTACCCAAAAAATAATCACCAATCAAATTTAGGTAAATAGTAAATTGTTGCAAGTATCAATAGAGCCGATACTCTGAGGGAATATGACATTGAATATCATTGCTAAGCTAAATCACTTAGCCAAGGTATATGTGACTTGATTATGTTTGATCCCTACCACTTGAATTTCTCTTCTTTCATAACCCCAAGTCTTCCTTTCTATCCACTCTTGAACCTCCTCCTCTGTCTTCTTTTTTTGGGCCATCTTTTTCCCTGAGTTTTACTTATCCTTCTACCTTGTGGACTAGTTATTCTTCTCTAGGAATTAGTTCCTCACCTCCTTTCAAGCCCTCTTATCCTCTCTTCCATTTCCTCGTTCGATATTTTTACAAATTATATTTTCATAAATAAACCCTATTGGGATTGTTTAAAATTAGGGATGGCTGTTACTCCTCAAAAAAAATCTCCTTGTAAAACCATTCTACAAAATGTTGGTTCATTGTGTTGGCCAGAGTGCCATTTTTTTGTCTCTGGCAACCATTTTGGTTCAATACGAGTTTAGATCGGTTTGATTGTGGTTTTCATTCTTGTGTCTTTGAATGGTGAAAAAGGCATGGTTGGAGATAATGGCACTTAGGCCACCATTTTGGGGTTTGCCAGAAAATTCTAATAGTCATTTTGGGATGGTGGATTGATTTGGGTCTAATTATACACATTTACCCCCGCTTTTCTTAGATGTTTGAAGCGCTTTTACTCCGTAAGGCTCGATTTTACTCTAGGTTGTGCTTGTTTTTAGCATTTTTCATATCCTACCAGGTGAAATCAACATGTGGAACAAAATTTGGACGAAAAGGGGTGAAAACCAATGTTGTCAAAACCGAACCGAAGATCAATCTGGATTAGTGAGAGGTTCAAGACTATCGGCTAACCGTAATCAACCGGTATGACAAATCGGTCATAAAAACGCTGACATGCCTACTGATATATTGCAACCTAACCAGCGGTGCTCGAAAGGTGCGGAGTGCTTATCTTCACTTTCCAAGAAAGAAAAGCAGGGACATATTTTCCAAATACCCCAAATACATTAATTGAAAGTTTAATTTTTGAGGGAACATTAATTGAAAGTTAAAACGTTAAAAGGGGTGGGTAGGTGGTTGTTCAACTTTAATTATTTAGAAATAATCAAAATGGAGCCTCATTCGGGAATTCCAAGCTCTCATTAAAGCATACACCACATTGATTAGGGAGGTTTTTATTATTTTATAATTTAAATTGGAATACCCAAAAGCTTAAAACATATGAATTAGTTCCAAACCGCCTGTTCGGGTGCAACGGTTTTCACCGATTACCCGGGCGAACCGGACGCAACCTGGCCGAGTAGCTTTCTTGCCATTTCAAGTCTTTCGGGACTAGATTGTTGCTCGGGTCCGCTTTTTACCGTTCTGACCGGCCAGTCCGGGCCGGTTTTAATAACACTGGCGAAAATGAATCAAAAGGGAGCAAATAACAGGAGTTCACGGTGGAGGCCAGAAGTTCACAGTCAGCCAAACCATGATGACAAGGTGCGGGTCATGAAGTGTGAGGAGTCCAGGAGGGTTTCATCCATCTTGCGGGCATTTAGTAGTTCATGGCCACTCAATCGAGATAATCAACCCCAGATTGTGAAGAGCATTAATGAAACGTCGTGCTTTTGCAGAACATCACGGTCCAGGCCTATAGTTCACGTCCGTGAACTGGGACTATGAAAAGCCATCAATCTGTGTACATAAAGGAGGGTTGAGCTTAAAGAGAAAATGGTGAGAACCTAGTGTGAGAAACTTCTTCTTTATATTTCTAGAGAGAGAAAGTGAAGAACAAGAGAAGAGAGGTCCAAGCTCCAAGAATTGGGATTCTCATCCTCAAAGGATGATCTCCACACCTAAAGGAAGAAGGCAACCCACTCATGATGGTCTCTCTTCTCCTTTGTGTAATCCCACTTCTTAGCATGGAGTAGTCCTTTCTTTCACTTGGGTGTTTGTAAATCCTAGCTAGAACTATGTGAATGCTTGTATGGACTGAATGATTCGTGTGTGGTTGTGTTTAATACAAGTATTGAGGCATTTTCATGAAGCTTGTGTTGTGTATTTGCATTTCCAACTCTTATGCAAATTTGACCTAGGTATAGGGAAATCCCCTTCTTGCTAAGAGGCTTGTAAAAGCTGGATTCATTGGTCAAATTGTGTAACCTACTTAGGTTGAATGAGGAAAAACCTCATACTATGTGTTAGCACCTTGGGTAGGTTGTATTTTGGCCATCCGGACTACGGTTTGATGGAGAAGCCTAAGCAAGCCTTAGTCGATTGGCCAAGAGAGCTACCTTGGTAGCTTGATATGATATCCCTTGGCCTAGTGACCGAGCGAGTGAAGCTTGTTCACTTGTTGCGCTTCCCTACTGTTTACAAGCGCTTTTACCACACACTTGCATTCGGTCCGACAAATCGTGATTACTAGCTAGGGAGAGCAACACACTGGTGGATCCTTCTTAACTAGTGTTCAAAATCATTTACATTTCCAATTTCTTTCAATTTTAGTTCATAGTTTCAACCAAAACTCGATTGCTAGATAATGTTCCAAACAGTTGAAGTAGGGGTACATGGACCGGCCAAGGTTTGACTTTTAAAACATACTTGCCCTATATTGCACCCAATTAAGTTTTATACTTGGTCCTTAGTCGGGATTTTTATTTTTATATTCGGGATGAGTCATGGATTTACTAATGTTGATGTCCCCAGCTCATACAAGGTGAGCCACTTGGATGTTGTGACCTGAAGAATGCAAAAAGTACTATAAAAAAATATAAAAAAATATAAAAACACACCTAGAGACTACTAAATATACCTTTAAGCTAATAACAAGGAAATTCAAGTCATAATGGCTAAACGTATATATAATAGGAGTAACCGAAATGATGTTTTAACTTATATTTTACATGTCATTGGTGAGATCTTTCTAGGAAACTGTGGTTTGCTTCTTGCTCTTCCAAGTCAGTAAAGAGGTTCATAGGAAAGTGCAATAGGCTGTTGTCGACCTCCTTGTGTCTGAACAACTTGCCCAATCTGATTTTGTGAATCCCATTAGAGTCAAATCTGCATTGCTACTGAAATGTATGCCTTGTCCATGGTTTTTCTTCAAGTATCTCAACACCCTGTAGGCTGCCTGCAAATGATTACTACATGGTTGTTTCTGGAATTGACATAATTGTTGAACAATATAAGTCAAGTCAGGCCTGGTGATTGTTACATAGTGCAACCTACCAATCAACCTTCTATACACTTCTGCATCTTCTAGAGGGGTTCATTGGTTTGCTGCCAGCTTCACCCCTTTGCATCCAAGTATCCAATGTCTTTTAGTAGCTCCAAGGCATACTTTATCTAACAGACACTAATTCCATCTACAGTCATGTTTACTTCCATACTCATAAAGTATTGTAGAGGTCCCAGCAACTTGATTTTAAACTCTTTACTCAATGCCATCTTGATGTGCTCTATGTCTTTTGGTGCATCACCACCTATGATGATGTCATCTACATACACTAATAACACTACAATCCTACCATGCACCCATTTCGTAAAAAGTGAGTAATCTGAAGTTGATTGACCTTCTCTATGTCACAATATTTACCACCCTTTCCCAATTTTGCAGGTAAATATGTTCTTTCTTCCTTATCAAACATAGACAGTAACCCATTAGTCAATTCTTAGATCCTAGACACAGGTGCCTCATATCATATAGCCTGTTCTCTAGCTTTATTCATTGCTTATAAGCGAGTTCAAGATACATTTGTGCATCCACCAAACACCACCAAGGTTCCAGATATCACACATAGGGACTGTCAAACTTCCAATAAGATTGCATATGTACAGTGTGCTCCTAGCTCCTGGTTTTTCCTTTAATCTAGTTTCAGTCAGTTGGCTCACACATGATTTGACCCTATCCTTACACTTCCATTCTAATCTTTGCCAAATCCAGTGTCTACAACTTTCATCCCCAGCAAGTTGATCTATGGCATTGGAGACTAGGACATCCCAATAGTGATAGGCAAACTTTGTTGCACGATCTAGATTCTTCTGTTTCCAGTTCTAAGTCAGAACATTGTAATGTCTATCATCTTTCCAAACACAAGAGACAACCATTTCCTGTTAGTACCAGTCAAGCAACATAACCTTTTCAGTTAATTCATATTGATATTTGGGGCCCTTTGTCTGTTGTTTCCTATTATGGTTATGTCTATTTCTTAACTGTGGTTAATGATTGCACTCGAGTTGTATGGGTTTATCTGATGAAACACAAAAGTGAGGACAGGGTTTGTTCAAAGGTTTATATCAATTGGTCAAGAACCAGTTTGGAACCACAATAAAGATTGTAAGAAGTGATCAAGGCAAGGAGTTTGATATGTGTGACTATTACATGGATGAAGGTATAGAGCACCAGATGTCTTGTGTTTATACCCTAGAGCCGAATACTAGGGTAGAGAGAAAATATCAGCACAATTTAAATGTTGTTAAATCACTCAGCTTTCAATCTGGCATACCACTGTTGTATTGGAGTGACTGCATCCTCCATAGCAGCTAGGAGATCCAAATTCGATGTCAGGACTACACAATGTTTCTTGCTTGGTATTCCTGCTGGTCTTAAAGGATATAAACTACTTGACCTTCAAACTAATCAGGTTTTTATATCTAGGGATGTAGTGTTTCATGAGTCTATCCTTCCATTCAGACATAATTCACACTCCTCTTCTTATCTACCTAACTCTTCTCCTCCTTCTGATACCACTCCTTCAACTTCTCACCCTCATTCTAATACTCCTGGCTTGTTGATTCCTTCATCTCCTCCTATTCCACCTCCTGTATCACCCTCTGCTGATGGGAGCTTATGAGGATGTTGAAACAATAGCACCTGATCCGCCTAATAGCCCTCATGACTTTGAGATGGGAGTAGAATTAGAACCACAACAGGACTATGAACCTCCAATGAGACCACAAAGGACTCATAAGTTACCTGCTAAGTTTGACAACTGTGAACTGGATCCTGATCTAAGTTTTGAGGATTTTGGCTCATGTGCAGCAGTATCTAAGTATCCCGTATATCTTGACTTAGATCACTTAAACTCTGCTTACAAGGCCTTTGCCTTGAGTGTTATTTCTTAGATTGAACCAGCTACATATTATGAGGCAATGCAGTCAGATGTATGAAATAGGGATGTGCAGGAAGAACGTGGAGCCTTAGAGAAGAATCAAATATGTGATATAGTGAAGTTGTCATATGGTAAGAAAGCCATTGGATATAAGTGGGTGTTCAAAATCAAAAGGAAGGCAGATGGTTCCATAGAGAGATTTAAGGCTAGACTGGTGGCAAAAGGATACACTCAAGTCTATGGAATTGATTTCCTAGATACCTTTTCACCAGTAGCTAAAATCAGCTCAGTAAAAGCACTCTTGGTAGTGGCATCAATAAAAAATTGGACACTGGTACAGCTAGATGTTTCAAATGCATTTCTCCATGGAGATTTAGAAGAAGAGGTGTATATGAAGATACCTTTGGGACTTGATCCGCAAGGTGTAAATCCAAAGGGAATGGCTTACAGGCTTAAGAAATCATTGTATGCCCTTAAGCAAGCATCAAGACAGTGATTTGCAAGACTAATTGGATTACTATTGAAGAATGGATTTGCAACATGTACCTCAACCTTATCATTTTCCCAGGTGTAAAACCAAGTGTAGATGGACTTCCAGTGCTAGCATCACTGCTGTGATTGGCTTCTGTTTGGTTCTCACTACCAATTGAACTCCCCTGAGAAACTTAACCAACAAACCTTTGATTTCCAGGCTATGTTTTTCCTTCTTTCTCAGCAGCCTCTTTCTTCTTTTTCAATCTCTGGCATTCTTCTATATAATGATTGGCACGCTTACAGAATCTGCAGAACTTCTTCCCTTTACCATGGTCTCCCATCTCATTGTCTCGTGTTCCTTCTCCTCCAACTACTAAGGCAGCTGATTGCCCCTTTTTGGCTCCACCATGTGCTTTTAGTTCTTGCGCATTCTGCAGCAGATCATCTACTGCTATAGTGACTGTTGGCAGTGGGTTCAGCATCACCAGTTGTTTCTTGCTGATTTCAAAATCTGGGTTCAAACCCCTGAGGAACGAATTAGATAATTTGTTTCATGCTTCCTATCAAAGGCCTATACTACTGTGCAGGGATTACCAAACATAATGAGCTTTGCATTCTTTGTTTGGCTCGCATTTCCTTCATCTCCTAACGAACCAAAATGCATATTGCGTGGATCTATGACTCATGCTCCGCTGTCAGAGTTTGGCGGTGTGGTGGGTGACGGCATGCCTGACATTGCAGAGTCCCTTTAGAACGGCTGCTCTGATACCATAAGAGAAAACTTGCAAGGGTTTGTGGAAGGGTTGATCTTCAGCTGCCTATGAGATCACCCTGTTGTTTATATAGCTCAGAGGAAATGAAAAGGAATAATGGATTACAGAGCACTGCCACTTGGCTGCTTTCCATTTGTCCATTTAAAGTCTAAATAGAGTTTAAAAATGGCTAACTGCTATTACACATCACTAATAATAAAACGACGTAGTAGCACTTAAAATGACTCCAGCAGTAAATAAAAATGTTTCTTCCTCTCTGCACGATTTGACTAGCATCTCGTTAGAGCCTCTGCTTCTTCAATCCTTCTGCAGTCTGGATTTGAATTCTGTAAGATTTGTTCTTTGGGGTTGCTGTTAGTATCCGAAAGGATTTTTCGGTTCCAAAAATAATTGGATAGTAGTGATCGAATGGTAGACATCAAACATTGTTACGGTTAGAAGTTTCAGCTCTTCTTGTTGGGATGACAAATTGACAACAGTAAGAGAAGCATTTGAATTTTGATAGTGAAAATCGATCTTTAGCTACTTTTATTGTCGTTGGCATAAGTTGAACAATTGGGGAAGAAGATTGCTTAGCTTCATAGTTTTTTTTTTCTTCAATTCCTTGTTGTCATTTGTTGTATGTCCTTGAGGAGTGATAACTGTAATGACTAGAATAAATTTGTCGGAAAAGTTGGTTTATGGGTCTCTTCGGTAATTAACTTGTGCCCTATAAAATAGAATTGTGCAGTCATGGAAATTGGAAAGAAAGAATTTTTTTCTCGACTTTACTGTTCTATAAAATATAACAATTTCCCCTAATGGCCAATTCTCAATCTTCCTCTCTTCTTCTTTCTTCTCCCCAAATCTTTCCTTCCTCTCGAAATCCAGGCTCCTTTCTTCAGACCCGGAGTAATGGGCGTGGGAATATCAGTCTTGATGGGATTGAAATCAGCAGTACTTTTCCTCTTCTTCGTATCCATGAGAAGTCTCGGCTTTGCGTTGTTGTCTATGCCGTTCTTGTATTCTTCAATGATAGCTGCCTTAGTTTCTGTAGCTTCTCACCCGTCAGTCGATCTGCCAATCCTTCTGGGTAAAAGCACGGATGGTAGTTTTCCAATTTGGGCCGCCATCATGTTCAGCCCCTACTTATACTTGGTCAGATTGTTTTCGCTGTTGCGTCGATCAGCCAGCGGCGAGGATCCTTACAGTGAGGTTTCTGAGGGTGTTTATGTTGGTGGGTGGCCTTATGCTGCTGACAAATTGCCGCCGGGCAATCCGGCGATTATCGATTGCACTTGCGAGTTCCCGAGAAGACCGGAGTTCAAAGGACACTCTTATCTGTGTATTCCGACTTGGGACACGAGGGCGCCTCAGCCCGTGGATATTGAGTCGGCTGTGAAGTGGGCGGTCCGGAAGAGGGCTCAGAATCGGCCTGTGTTCATCCACTGCGCATATGGTCAGTGTGCAATTTACTTCCTCTTCTCTTTTTCGTATAACTGCTGTTTTTCACGATGAAATTTGCTTGCTGTTGGTGAAACGTCTGTGAAAGTTGTCTTCGATCTGGCGCGGTTGTTGATAGGTTTATGTGAGAAACTTGAGTTGGAACTTGGGGAGTTTTCTATGCGTTGCTAATGGGGTACTTGGTTCTTCATACAACGTTTCTTGTTATGCAACAGGAACGAGTATTCTACTCTAATATGATCTACCAGTGAGTTGTTAGATATATTTTATTTTGGTGCAATGTAGTAAGGCTTTGGATCGTATTACTATCAAGTAAAGTAAGCAGATTGACCATGGGGGTATTGTTTGCACAATTGACTATGGGGCTGGATCCTTGTAGAGAAGCTTATGTATAGCCGCTATTGGTCCTTAATTGTGTTTTCTTGCAAGCAATCAAAATGGACAGTGGGGTTTAGCAGTGAAGTAGACATTTCTGACTCATAATAGTGTATCGTTATGGACTTCTCAGTTGTGCCTATTCTCTGTTATAGCCGATATCATTAATACCCAAGATATTGCCTCCTACTGCGGTTTTATGCATGTCTGGCTAATTCTCTTATGGTTTCGTTTGAGTAGGATTCATGCTTCATTACCCATATCACAAATTCCCAAATGTATTTCTTTTGACATACATTTTTTTGCCACATAGTGGTGAGTTGCGCAAATTTGCACCGTGGTTGTAAAGGTGCAGAGAGCAGCATGTCCAATAGTTCAAACTAGAGATCTAGAGATTTCACTTTGCATATTTGAAACTTCTGGTTATTCTGGATAATTATTTCCTAGTCTAACTTTTGTTAGAATTTAGCATTGGTTTTCATTAAAGCATTTGGCTTCTGATGACCTAGTATGTTGAGCTCCAGCTGAATAACTACTTTTTTTTTTGGGTGTGAGAATTGGCTACTTCTTGATGATATCCAGCAGGCATTTTTACAATTACTCACCAAATCATGATAATTCCTTCATGCATATTTGTGGTGCCTGTTCCAAGTCTCTAGTTAGCTGCAATTGTAGCAGCTAACATTGACTAAAAGTGGTTGTATCGACACATTCTAACTTGGTGGATGGATAATATTTGTGGAATTGGAATTGGGATTGGATTTTAACTCTCTAATTAGCAGGTCGTGCTTGCTAATGTATCTCTTTTGTTTTCAGAATTAGACTTCTCAATCTCCACGTGAATGGACACTATCCATAGAAATATTAACAAAAGCGCACAGCTTTGTGCTTTGAATTTATTTCCTAGCAACCTTGAATTTTCAAATGAAGCTCAAATGCTTTTCTCAAGTTCTATAAGCTTCTTCCTTTTGCCTCTGTATTATCTTCCTAACAACAGTTCTGTGGCCATACTAACTGAACGGTGGACAAATAGGTTGATGTCTAAAATCTGGATATGAGAACGTACCTGCCACTGCCAGATGACTGACAAATTTAGTTGCAATCCTGACATGGCAGTGGGTCTGGCAATGACTTGTGTGCTTAGATATGTGTAAGGCAGCTTCTCAGCTTGCGTGCCCTAGAAACAAAACATTTATTTTTCATATTGGAAAATCAGAACACCTGCCTTGTGAAATTTCTCAACTGGGTCTCTATGTCAGATATAGATGAACTTTTAGCAATTGTTGTGGATATTGACAGTTTGGCGGATCATTTACTCTTTCCCCCATTGATGTAGCTGTGAAAGCATCGAACTTGTTGCAGAAATGATTCTCTGTTCGTATGGGTAATGGTTTTTTTGATTCCCTGCAGGTCATGGAAGAAGTGTTGCTGTCATGTGTGCGCTGTTGGTGGCGCTAGGAGTGGTGGAAGACTGGAAAAGGGCCGAGAAGTTGATTGCTGAGAAGAGACCGTATATCAGGATGAATTCCCTGCAACGGAAATCCTTGGAAGAATGGTCGAAAGATAGGTTGTCTTCAGTGGTGAATGTGGGTTCAATGAAACAACCAAATGTCTACTAGAAAGATAATCTACCAAAATGTTTACTCTACTGTGATGCATCGGATACGGACCATATGGTAGATGCTGCTGAATGGGACGGGACGTCTCTTATTGTTTTTACTATGTTCATCTGTTCTGGCTGCCAAGGGAGCATATGTATAAAATTTAGCGCTAAACTATCAAAAACTGTCATTTATTTTCTAAAATATTTAATATGACAAAAATGTCCCAAAGTAAGAGATTTTAGGTAATTTGTATCCCAAATGTTTGGTTGACTGTTAAATTTAATAGTTTCCTTAATGAGGTCAAATATGTGTTTGACTATAATGACACGGCACCTACATATCAGCAACATAAGCTGCCACATCAGTAATATGTGTAATTTAATAATTTTTATTTATTAATAAAAGTCTCAATTAGTTAAATTGTTTTCCCAAAAACATCAAATCCTTCTGTCTGCAACACTGCCACATCCTCTCGCTGCCATATCCATAACTTCAATTGGATTTGGGACTCTGGTGGAGGCCGGCGGACTAGGAAAGCGACAACTGGATTTGGGGAGAGATTGGCTTCGGGTGAGGAAACAACGAGAGAGGGAGCGGTGGAGCGAGTAGGGGTGGCAGTCGGTCGGTTTCGGTTTAACCGAAAACCGAAAACCGAAACCGACCGACTGCCACCCCTACTCGCTCCACCGCTCCCTCTCTCGTTGTTTCCTCACCCCCGGTTTTCGGTTAAACCGAAACCGACTGCCACCCCTACTCGCTCCACCGCTCCCTCTCTCGTTGTTTCCTCACCCGACCCGGTTTTCAGTTAAACCGAAACCGACCGACTGCCACCCCTACTCGCTCCACCGCTCCCTCTCTCGTTGTTTCCTCACCCGAAGCCAATCTCTCCCCAAAACCCGGTTATCGGTTAAACCGAGCCATCCCCTCTAGCTGCCGACCACCGACCGTGAGAGTGAGCACGGTTAGCCGGCCAACCGACCGGTCGGTTTTGGTTTTAGGGTCGGTTAGCCGGCCAACCGGAAAATACCTTTTCTAAAAAAAAAAAAATTAAAAAAACCAAAAAATCCGCACCACTCGCTCTAACCCCTCCCACTTCTCGATTCTTCTTCTCCCTATCCAGAGAAACCCGCCGCTCTAACCTATCTCTCTCCCTTCTCTATCTCGATTCTCCACTTCTCGATTCTTCTTCTCCCTATCCAGAGAAACCCGCCGCTCTAACCTATCTCTCTCCCTTCTCTATTTCGATTCTCTTCTTCCTTTCCAGAGAAAATCGACAAGAACAGAGGCTTTCCACCGAGGATCTGGCAGAGAGATCGAGAGATTGCGACTCTGGTAAGGACTCTTGCTCGTCGTCCCTTCGCGCAGACCTGCTCTGCTTCCCGTCATTCCGTCTCTAAATGGCAAAAACATGGTCGGAAGAGGCCAGCTCTCCGTCGTCAGAACCGTCTTTCCAACTCCCCTCGCCGAGCTGTCGTTCTTGGATCCAGCCCGTAACGATTCGATTTCTAAGGATTTCGATTCTACAATATCTGGGTTCACGAAGCAGAGCTTACATCCTCTGCTCCTAGCGACTTCTCGTGTTCGTCGACTTTGATTTTTGGGTTTCTGAAGCCGAGGTTAAATCCTTTGCTCCATTGGCTTCTGGGTTTCCGGATCAGCTTCGAATTAGGTAGGATTTTGGATTGCATGCTGGGTTTTTCGACTCTTGAGGATTGATTTTAGGTAGGGTTTTTCGGCTAATTTTTTTTTTGTTTTCTTGTGACTCTTGAGGATTGATTTTAGATGAATGTAAAAGAAGCAGGGAGGAGACCGCCGCTGCCGCCGCCGTCGAGGAAGGAGAAGGAGGTCGACTCGACGTTAGGGTTGAAGAGGAGAGGGGTTTTGGTCTTTCGGGTGGGTTGGAGCGGGGTCGTTTTGGGGCTGGGGGAAGGGGTTGTTTTGGGTTTTGGGGCTGGGCGAAGGGGTTGTTTTGGGTAGGGCTGCGGGGTCGTCGGTTAGCCGGTTAACCGCCGGTTACTGACCGCGGTTAATCGGCTAGCCGAGCCTCTCCTCCTCTTCCCCGGCAACCGACCGACGTCAATACAGGTCGGTTTTTGGTTAGCCGAAAACCGGTCGGTTCGGTCGTAACCGACCGGTTAACTGCTAACCGAAAACCGTTCTGCCAGCCCTAAGAGCGAGTGAGGGAAGGGGGAGAGGTAACGACAAGAGGAGTATTGAAGATCCGAAGGTGGCGGCGAGGAGAGAGTTCGACGCGAAGAAGGGAGTCAGTTTTTTTATAATTTTATTCATTTGCTATGAAAATAAATAGAAATAAAATAACACTTTTTCGATAGTTTGGACTTTCTAGTGGAATTAGTCTTAATATTTATCCCTACCAAGCGAATCTGGCACGTATTTCCGCCGCCGTGGGTGCTCACCAGCTACTTTGACTTTGAGACCCCTTTTGTAAACTCTAATGGAAATGAAACTGCGAAGTTTTATTGACTGAATGGAATATGGTTTAAATACACAATGCCAATCACCAAACTCGACAACTAGCAACAGCTCTAACCCCTCTATCCTGGATTCCAACATCCATAACTAACTGACTTGCTAACAACTTGAGCTAAAAGCTCGCAACATCTATAACACGACTTTGGACTCAATTGTAACAAAACAAGACTCAAGGACCTAACATGAACTACGCCAAACGACTGCGTATCACATAAACTCAAAACTTTACTGCAAAATGACACGTTGCACTTTATTTGAATCCCTTTGGCGTTAGACTCCCAATCCTTTTGCTACTTGGACTCTAGACCCTTCAGCACTTCTCCATAGCTCCAAGTTCAACTTCCATCGACTTTATTTCCTAGAATGAACTCAGCAACATCCATGATTCCAAGCTCAATCCTGAGTAACTAATATTTTTCCTCATTTAGGGCCTTTGCTATATATCTGTAATCTTTTCATTGGCTCCACAGTAGACCAGATCAACCACATTGTCTTTAACTAGTTCTTTTAGGAAGTGAAAGCTAACATAAATATGTTTGATTCTTCCATGAAGAACTGGATTCTTTGAAAGTTTGATTGTTGAATAGTTATAACCGAATATTTTGGTTGCCTCATTAGTGTTCCTCCCCCAATTCACTTGCTTCACAATTCTCTTGAGCCACAGACACTAAGCAGCAACAACAAAATCTACTTCCGTATTGGAAATTGTTACTATATGTTGCTTTTTCTACGCCCATGACACAACTCCTTCAGTAAGAAAATGTGCTCACTGGTATTTTTCTTGTCATCCAAGTCACCTTCATAATCACTGTTTCCTGGAAATTCTGCTCCTCCTTCTCCTTTCTTGTAGCATATGCCATGACTCGTGGTACCATTCAACTATCTCAGTACTCTCTTGGAAGCCAACATATGTTGCCATGTGGGAGCTTCCATTAATCAACTAAGAAGGCAGACGTCATACATCACATCAAGGCTGGTCATAGTAACATACAACAGACTTCCAATAAGGTGCTTGTATTATGTGGCATTGACAGGGATGCCATCTCCATCTTTTGAGAGTTTTACTCCTGGTGCCATTGGATTATTGACAAAATTACAATCTAGAAGTCTGATCGTCTCTTGAATGACATATATGTACTTATTTTGATAGATGAACACTCCCCTTTCAGTCTTATTGATCTCAAAACCTAGGAAGTACCTCATCTATCCAGATCACTCATTTCAAACTCAGCCTTTGATAGAAACCAATTTCCGTATGATTATTATTAGTAGTCTTTTAGTAAAATTAGGTTTATTATTAGGATTTTCCAATATTACCTATAAGTATGTATCTTGAGACTACAGTAGAAGAAATGGAGAAGAATATTAAGAAAAGTCTTCCAAACCCTAATCTCCCTATCCTCTGTATTCTCGTTCTCAATCCCTCTAAGCCCTAGGGTGGTACTCTATCTTTCTCTTCTTCATTCCCAAATCTCAATCTCAATCCCTAATTCTGTTTGTATAAATTATAATCCCCAAATATCAAACCCAATAGGAACTTTGTTCATGTCAATTTGTATTAGAGTCTGGTTCCGAGAGCGAGTTCGTCACAATTCTCAACCAGGGTCTGCTTCCTACCAAGCATAGCCTCGATGTGTACATCACGGCTCACCATTAAGGAACTGTTGAACCAGTTGGAGGCGACACTCGAAGCCATCTGGGAAAAGAAGACAATGGCGGTTGGCGACTCAATGGCCGTACTTACAGTAGTTCAGAAGGGTACGAGGCCCAAGGCAAGGCCGAATGACGTCATTTGCACGGCGATGGCAGAGGTAGAGGAGGAGATTCCGGCCGACGCGGGTCTGATATGGAGACAAAGGCGACGGTTCCGGAAGGAATTGCCAAGGAGGAGGAAGTCAAGGAGGAGATCGCGGACGGAGGGGAGGTTTCGCCGCCTCCATCAATCACTCTAGAAAAGCAAAGAAGGTTGGCAACGTCGAGGGCGCCGTCGATTGCGGGGGATATGTTGAAGAAGCTCCCAAAAGAGGAGAAGAAGGCAACGACAACTCCGTGTGTGGTGGCGAATCCAAGGACAACGACGAATACAGGGAAGGTGACGACAGAGACAGGGCCAGAAGAAATCTGACATCCACGCCGCACGTCAGTCAGCCGCCATAGAAGAAGTAGGCAGGGAAGGAGAGCTTCGTGGTAGAGCCATTGCCAAAGCTATGGAGCGAGAATTTGGCGTCGCCCGTGGCGACGAACGATGGGGAGCAAAAGCCAGAGGCGGAAGCCAACTAGACTTGCCATCGGGAAATCCCTTCGCCTCCGAAAGAGATGTTGGAGTCGAAGAAGGAGATGGAGGAGGCGTTGGTGGGTTCATTCAGCGCCCAAATCCTAGATCGATTGCCAGCCTTGGGTCAGCAACTATTGGGTTCGTGGGCCGGCGGGCCAGGCGGATCAAGCTTTGGATCGACTCATGTAGGCATGTGCGGGCCAAAGCGGATGGGAACAGGTAGGCCGTGTTTTGGGATGAAGCTGGCCGAGGACGATCTGAGGAAGCATGCCATATCAAAGTCTGAACCGAGGCAGAATAAAGACTTCCACGAGCTTCAGGAGATAGTTGGGCAAGGTTTCAGGAGAAGCTTGAGCCACCAATGAGATATATTGTTGGATTTATTTTAAAGGAGAAAAATGCGAAGAAAGATGGATCTATGGGCTTAGATGATAGGCTTAAAGAAGAAAAACTCTCTGATTCTTACTTTGAATAGTTTGAAAAGGAGGTTGGAGAGTCATTTGGCCATGGTTGTGACAT